GCAGTTACAACCTCTTATCCCCCTATAAAAACTCAACAAACTCAACTGAGTTAAGGGCTGGCTTTTTGGTGGATTCTCAGGATCTCAACCACTCGGTTCGGTGATTCAACAGCAGCAACATTAAAATCCCTGGAGATAGGATTTTTGAATCAAGTCAGAAGATCAAATCTGAGAAGATTCTTCAACAACAGAATATCAGCTTGGTCATTAACCGAATTTTTGGTTCTAACAACTCTATTAACAGAGTTCTAACTCATTCGGAGTTCTTAAACTCGTTGAAGAGTTACTTATAAAACTTTCTACAGAAGTTCATCGTTCCCACGAGAAAAGAAGACGGTCGGATCGTCAATGGAGAGCAAATTCGACGCGAGCAATCGAAGGAGGCATTCCATCGCTACCGAGAAGAACCCAGTTTTAAACAAAGGAGAGAATCAAACTCGTTCTCTTCTCTTTTGTAATCAAGTTGTAATCGGAATCAAAGAAATACAAGTCAATTTTCTTTATTCTCTTCTTTACAATACAATTCATAATAATAAAATTATGGGATTCTAAGATTTTTATCTGAACTTTCCCGCTTGGGTAACTCAGAGTTGACTTTACCGAAATATATCAGCTTTTGGCCTCTCTTTTTAGACAAGACCATGAAGAAGGCTTTCTGCACATCTTTTATCTCTTTGAATATTGTGAAGGATGATTTGAGCGGTAAATCAAGTGATTCCTCAGCATACAATGTGTGTCATGGATCCATACCTACATTTGTATCTATCTCTGCTTTCCCACATTCTGAGGACACATCAGACAAGTAAGCCAAATTGAAATCTTTATTAATGTACTACTCGCCCTCACTCGGTACATTATTATTATTGAGTTCATTTGGGCTCATTACATTCAGATCTAACTCCCACAGACACTCTTCCTTAGGCTCGGGCTCGATGTCCGCTTCGTTACCACTGTCGGCGGCTTCCTTCGGCTACTCTGGCTCCTGGGAGTCCAGATAGAAGACTAAGTCGGTATGAAAATTCTCTACACCTCTGAAAGGTTGCTTCTCTGTGATTAGGGTTTTGACTTCTCTCTCTTCATCAGCATATTTTATTAGTTGATGAAGGGTAGACGGGACGATTCGATTCGCATGAATCCAGGGCCGTCCTAACAATAGATTGTAGGATGTGTCCGTATCTATGATGTAACAAGTCACTTCGGACTTGAGATCTCCGATTTGACACATGAGTTTGATGAAGGGTCGAGTGCTGTTAGCGTTAAAGCCGAAGATCGTAGTCTGGGTAGAGCTCAGCCAGTGCAAGGGAATCCTTAGGACTTGCATGCCTCGGTATGGCATGATGCTGAGTACAAAGCCTGGATCAACCTGTACACAACTGATCCCGAAAGATCTGATATACCCTGTGTAGTACAGTGATCTATCATGCTTGTGTTTGATTTGCATATCTTCTTGTGTGAATGATATGTATGGAAAACTTCTCACAGCTTGTAAGCATTGTGTGCATGATTGTTCTTTTATAGCTTTTGGAACTGCAAGAACTTGTGTTATAAAGGTCTCTGTGTCCATTAAAGCTTCAATCAGGGCCTCCCTTATGGTCTTAGATAGCCGCAAAAGCTCGTACAAGGTGATCCTGGCCGAAATATTGGACAACTGTGCCAGAACATTAAAACGGTGAGCAAGTGCCTAAACCTGTAGGCGTGGCCCATGCTCGGGGAGGGAAGAGATCATAAATAATATTATATTTTTAGCTATATTACATCAATAAAATAAATACAAGAGAAGTGTTGTCCACTACCATCCATAAACATAACATCCACGCAAGATAATATAAAATATATAACTTAATCAATATTAAGAAATATACATCTATCTAGTTATGCAACAAATTGAAAAACTAGATAACATAGGGATTATCCTAACTCAAATAGGACTATCATACTTCTAACATATAACTACACTAGTTGTAAATAAGTGTTTTGCAATTTATACAAGTGTTTTTACTCTCAAAAACTTATGAACCAAAAAAATAACATGTTTGAATCAACAACTAGTATAACTAATTACAAAACAACATGTATTAATTAACTAGTTTCATTCACACTAGTAATTAGAAGCAAGAATAAAGTCCTCCATGAGTTATATATGCATGTTAAGATTTAATTAGATGGAACCTGACTCTGATACCATGAAAGAAATCATGTGCTTATTACATGCAAAATACGTAGCGGAATACTGTATATATAATTATACTAAGCATGTAGAGAGCATGAAATACAAAATAGGACGATCCTAATTAAATGTAACATGATCCCTATATTAAAGAGAGCATACAAGAGTTAGAAAGTCATACTTTCGAAGCGTGATTTGATCCTATATTAAAGAGAGCATACAAGAGTTAGAAAGTCATACTTTCGAAGCGTGATTTGATGGAAGATCGAACAACCCCTAGCTCTTGATACAAGAGTTAGAAAGTCATACTTTCGAAGCGTGATTTGATGGAAGATCGAACAACCCCTAGCTCTTGCGCCTTGTAGTAGTAAATCTCCTTGTAGTGGATCTCTAAGTCTTTAAGTGAGCTTGATAAAATCAGAGTCTTCTTGAGACACAAGGTAAGATATCCTCCCCGGGGTACTTTAAAATCCTACTACTTCCTCTTACTCAAAGATTGCTAGAGTTTAGTAAGAGGTAAATCTCTCTTTTTTTTTCTTTTATGGAAAGCAACTATGAATAAACCATTTATTTTATTTTTCCATTAACCATGAAAGAAGAAAAATAGCTCATATTTATAGAGGAAGAATATGTCCTAACATGAATGACTCATCCTATGAGTCACACCATGAGTCATCAAAATAATAATTCTCTCACGAGTCATGCAATGACTCATCTCATGAGTCATGCAAAGAGTCATGAAGATTCAAAACTATGTGCTAAAACCATGTTCCCAAACCATACTACCTTATGATTCATCTCATGACTCATTAATCAAGGTATAATAAAGTGTGTGTTTTATAAATAAAAATACCACATCAATAATGTATTTCATAAATATGATATTTCATAATTTTCCAATCATTGACTTATAAGTCATCATATGATCAAAAAGTCAACGAGTTGATCAAAAGTCAACCGTTGACCAAAATGTTAACTAGTTGACTAAAAGTTAACTTTAATAAAAGTTAACTTTATGGGAAAAATACTGGAATTCATTTTCTAAGCACATAACATCCGATTTTACCGATATACATAATCGTTTATGTGTATCCGATAAAATCATATATGTGTATCATTCATACGCATCACTCTATAAATTGTGTTTCATAGAATTCAAGTACGCGCTTAGTGTGACTCTAGGGCCCAACTTAAGAACTCGTCAGTTGATGTTATCCACAAGTACAGCAGAGGTGCTAGCTACACATGAAAACTACCTGGGTATACGTTGTGATAAATGTCTGCAAGATGCTAACACAATTTTATCAGGACAACTCAATGATAATATTGTACAGTCTAATCTTTTCGTCAAACCATGTCAAACTATCGAGCTTAGGGTATGAAAAACTGTCAAACCCTAATAGCTCGATTAGTGTTTGTTGATATTAAACTCATAACCTATAAGATCAAACTGACACTCAGTTTATCTTATTTACCTCGGCCAAGGATTTTCTGGCTATAGTTATATCTATAAGATCAAACTGACACTCAGTTTATCTTATTTACCTCGGCCAAGGATTTTCTGGCTATAGTTATATTAAATAATCTTATGATATCAACCTCTTATACTGGGAGAGACGAATCTCATCTTGGCATCTCAATATCTACTTATGTCTCGGGACGTACCCAACAAGAACCGTTATACACAACTTAATAAGAACTGTGGTTAGGTAAAAGTCTAAGTACACCTATAGTGACATGTAAGAAATTGCATTCATGCCTCAGGTCAAGAGACTAATTTGTACTATATCACTTGAAAACTTCTATTTGACAGTTAAGTATGATTACCAGTTAGATGGTATCAATGAGTCGTTCAGTCAACTCATTCACTAATGAGTCACTTGTATACTATATCTTGATCTCTCACATCAATGATTCAAGAGATGGATCATCATCCTACCAAAGGAGAAATAGAGTATACACTAGTCTTCCTAAAGTGATGATGTCTTATTTTAATACTTCATCGGCTAGGAACATTTTAGAATATACGTTAGCGAAAAATTAGATCTCTTCATTTTGATCATATCCGAAATGTTCGATAGTCTAGTATCATTCTAAGAACTTTATCTGTATTTAAAAGTACCAAATAAATCTGACCAAAATAGCATACTATGATTTTGAACAATGATGTTATATTCATATAGGTCCTGTTATAATATACAATTATTGCCTGTAGGGTACCTATATCTAACAGGGGGGTGGGGGTGGGGGGGGATACAGTTTGCACGTAGCAAGAGCTATGTCGAAAGCCGGTTCTTCTTTCAAGCTTGAACTCAAGAGAGGGTTCTCTTGGTTGAGATTCATGAAAAACCTATGATATGATGAACAAAAATATTATCATGTTTTTTTCTCTTTTTTCAAAATTTTCGATTTATATTAAGAAGGCAATTTTTAGACAGAGTCGCTATTTACCCCCAAAACTATTAGATTTGCTTATATTGAACTATTTTTAGAACTTACGTACCTCCTAAACTACGGAATTACTTGTTTACTTCCTAAATTATTTTGGTCTTACCTTGCAACCTAAACTATCACTCCCTTCTTATAATTTTAATTAATTAAAAATACCCACAAAGTAATAAATCAATATTTTTTATTAACATGGGTTTAGCTGATATCAGTATTTTTTATTACAATAATCGAACAAAGCCATAATTTTCGGGGATTTTACTCCCCCATAATATGATCTCAACAACACGAGAACCAAAACACAATTCAAAGGATAGAAATAATCACAATCAAGAAGAAGAACAATGAGATTTATATGATTTGATCAACTAAGTTCGACATACATCAAAAGAGCACAATACGAAAAATTCATTATGGAGAACCTTATAAGATGGATCAGTATCATCTCTTATCTCTCAATGTTTCAATCTCACAATATGTAGTCATCATCTCATATTCTCTCTAAAGTTCTCTCCTTCCAATCTTTTGGACAGATAAAGACTACGGGGTCATCTCCTCTCATATACTACTATTGGATCTAGTTACACTCTCTACTAAACCTAGATTCTAAGAAAAGGAAAGAAGATAAATGAAATAAAATAAATTTAAAAAAAGTGAACTATGAATTTACAATTTCATGTTGAATGTTATTTGTACAAAAGGTTGTAAGCTGGCATGTCTTGAATTCGATGGAGATCCTCTAAAGCCAGCTCCCTCTCCAATTGGCATCTTGTTGCTTGCAATACCTCCTACGTGCATCAGAATGACAAAAAGAAAACAATAGGAAATTAAGGAGATTTACATTCATTAAAAACAAAAAGGATTAAGTTCATAAAATATATAGAAGAGGTGTTGAAACAAGAATTTTAAGAGGCATGCAATTTTCAGTATATTAAAGCGATTCTGACTTTTGAATTTTACAAGGAGACCTGTTTTTCGAACAATAAGGACTAGAGATAGAATTCAATATAATCAGAACCAAGACAATAAAGAAATGGTATAAAGAGGATAATGTACTCAAATGGATACTGTTTGGATTCTTTCTGTCTTTTCAATGTACAAAATTGCACATGCCATTTTTAATCTAGCTCCCTCTAATCTCTATCTCACCTTGAGATGATGATATCATCTCTTTAAAAGAAGATTTTAGACATTAAGTAGGTGAAAGAAAATAAATTAAATTAAATTTTGTTCCGTGGAAGAGGTTCAGTCTTACATGAAACACAAAGTTTCTTCTTAATGAACGCCATAGCTAAGATCCTGGTATACTTAGGGAGAATAATTTTGTTGTTAAGAACCCTAAGCTTTGTTCCGTTTCTTGATTTTTCATCTCTTCCTCGATACGAATTAAAAAAAGTGTGTTTTCACTTATTAATAGTTAAGATTAGAAATCTTGTTGTGTGAGGGAATATTTATGAGACAAGGTTTGAATTAATGTTGTCATGAATCTCCTGTTACTTGTCAATAGAACAAAGAATAGTCATCTAGGTCCTGAATAATTTTCCAATCAGAAAAAAATGACATCTCTAATATTAATGCTGAAAGGGAATGATATAGCGAGTCTAATAACAGCAAAAATTCAAATAAGAGCCATGTCACGCGTTTCAATGTAGAAGGTAAATGATATGGTTATAAGAGTCAAATACAAAATTAATATAAAATTATTACAAGAAAAAGTGGTGAAGCATATATATACATACATTGAATTGCAGGTAAGAAGCTTGCATGGCAAGCCATTGGGCATCCATCATCTGAAAGGCTACACAATATAGTATATCGAAAGCTTCTTCCTCGTCTGCAATCACAATGCAATACTGTAACTATTGTGGTAACTAGCAAATTGACTCTAGAAAAACAAAGTTACACTATTTACTGCAATCGCATTTGTACATATCCTGGCCTCACCAGATAGTACTCTTATGAAATTTGCCCCCGGAAGAGATTTAGGCTTTTCTGTAGGCAAACAATATCTTGGAGATCATGACATCGTTCATAAAAAAACACGGATATGTTAAAAAAATGCATTCCTGAATAACCTGAATATAGATCCAACATCTGGATTAACATGAAGGTAATATTAATGCCTGCAACAGCAAATGGATATTCCCATACAGCTCTTGTCCCTTCTTGTTTAAGTAATATTCTTTTGTAAGAAATCTACATTCATTAATTGCAACATATATGACTTGTATAAAATAAGTAAACAAAAACATATTGAAAGCAATATGTGATACCGGGTAGGTCTGAGCAAAAAATAGTAGATTCTCAAGTGAAACAAATCCGCAGCCCCTGTAAGAAACTTTGAAGTTGATAACTATATTCAAATTGAATGAATCAACATCGTAAACATAAAGTCAAGGATTGGTACACAAAAAGACACATAGATAACTTGAGTTTTCCACCCTTTCAATAAAAACTAAAATACCAGAACAAGTCAAAGCAGTTGATATTGTTGCTTTAAATTTTGAAAATCAGATCATCTCTCCATGGAACATATAAAGTTTAACAATAACTGAGAAAAACAATTTGATAAGTGAGAAAAACAATTTGATATCAAATTGAACTATTGTAATATTATCATATTATAATATTTAGAATAATAATATGCCAATACAATTAGTAATGAATTGCAGCATTCTCATTCTATGCATGCAATCTGTGATTTCATCTAGGCGGTAGACAAGTGGAGGTATAATCTGTGGCTGCTAATAATATTGTTATGTTTCGCCAAATTCAGAACATCGTAAGTCTTATTATGAAGAGTATCAAATGAAATGTTTTATAGAAAGTCTAATTTGATAGATAAATCCACAGTCATAAGTTAGTAGCTTTTAGCACATACGTAATTTTATTCAAAACTAAAAGATGAAGAATATAAATACGTGATTGAAATAAATAGAAAGCAATAGTAATTTGAGGACTACGCAAAACAGCTCATTCCTTCTGTGCGTGCATGCATGTGTTAAGACTGTTCTGATTCTTTAATTTACCGGAAGTCTGTTGATGGATTTAAACCTTGCCAACCCATATCTTTCCATTGCTCAGAGACCATGCCTGTAAGGTTTGTTGTTGGGAAAGATGTTTGCCACAGTGCTTTGAGAGCTTCCTGTAATTATTTATATATTTAGAGAGCATGATTATAAGATATAATCACTAGACTAATAAACAACATATGTTACAGTAGGTGTCCAACGACAATTAAGACTAAAGTATATAAAAACATGATACAAATTATAGGGCCACACAATAAACCAAATTTGGTAAGAGAAACCATATCCCTTGAAATTAAGATTATAGACCATCCATGGCGGCATTATTTTACTCAGAAAGGTTGCAAACACTGTCATATGGTTATACCGTATTCAAATATGCACATAAAAGACTACGTAAAGTGAAAGGAAAATACCTTTCTTTAGTAAAAGGCATTCATGTCTAAATATTATTAATGAATCACACGCGCGCCCGCACAAACAAAGTAAGAAGATAAACAACAACAAAAAGATAAGTAAGAGTAAATGTAGTTCATTGTTGTTGTCTATATTTTGGTATGGGATAGTGATTGATCCAGGAATTTACAAAGCAGTGCTTCTACTTGCATTGATTTGTGGCTGTAGGGAAGAGATAGTAGTATGAAGCTAATTGTTTCTTTCTTTTCAAAGGTTTGAAATTGTTGCCACGCCTATTGCATCCCAAATATTCAGCAATTTTTCCAGAACTGATATGTACATTGTATTTATTAATTATCTCCCAATTGTAGCGGAATAAGGACAAAGAGTGAAATATATTAAAGGAAATTACGTAAATCATGGATATGTGAATTTATTCTTTCAGTAAAACCTAAAATAATCTTTAAAGATGATAACCTGGAAGAGGAATTAAGACTTCCGGTCATACTTTTTTCTAAAATGAAAAGTCCACACAACTTACAGTTATAGGAAGAAAATTCCTGTTGTGTGCAATGGAGATAGGTAATAAGCAAAGATTCATGTCTTTGTTAAATCGAGACAAACTAGTTGACCAAAGAATCATCAAGTGCCTAAATGCTAAGTTGGGTCAAATAGAATGACAATGCCTTGTTATACCATTTTTAGTCTTTCTTGATTGTTCTATGAGATATTCTTCTCAGTGCATAGCATATGAACAACAGAACTCAGCTTCACAGGAGAATTTAAAATATATCAAGAGTAGAAAAGTTGTATACTTGATGGTCTGGTCGAGTTTCATCAAATGGAACATTCAGCCGCTCTTTAAGCCTTTGTAGTCTTTGTTGCTGCAAAGAAATAATCAGTTAACAGCCAATTGAAGATAAAATAAGTTATAAGGAAGGCTGTAGAATGCCAACAAGTCAGTCTGTAGTTCATACATAGTTTGAGTTTTCTCTTTTATCATCACAAGAAAATTGTGGGTAAGTACATATACTGCATTAAATGGATTACAAGTCATTTCACCTTCACGACAACTTCAAATTGTGTTTGTAACTTATCATAGAATGGAGAAAAAGAAAGGTGAATAACAGTATGATACTGCCTTTCTTGCTTTTATTTTGATCGAATAATGAAGAGAGGCTCAAGATCATGTTGAGATACCTGAACAGAAGTGAGAGTATAATCAATGAGCCTTTCAGTACCATTCTGCTTATTGCTTAAACGATAAAAGAATCCTCCAAGCCATGACCGTGGCCCAACCATAGCATTAGCTGCATCCACTGAATAATTATAGAGATATCACTACAAATGGCTCTTATATTCACAGACATAAAAAATCTCCTCAATGCTTGTTTGAGAAAATTAACCATATTCATTTGAATCATAATTGAAATGGCAGATGTTTGGATTCGTATTATTTGGCCTATTTTGATTCAGTATTATTTGGCCTATTTTGATTTGGCTGTGATGTGACAACTTGCTCATTTTTGTTCATCACACTTATGGCTGGGATCGGATTAACTCATGTAAAGATTTAAGTTGAAATGAAAGAGATAATCAGTTGGATAATTCAGTGTATATCATTGTACTTCCAAGTTCAGTCTTGAAGATAAAGGGGCATAGAATTTGGAGAAGCTCATCACTTGTTATTGAACTGGAAAAAAATAAAATAAAATAAAATAAAATCTCTCCTTGTTTGTAGACGAAGGCTCCGCTTGTTACTAAACCATCCGCTTGTTACCGAACCATTTATCTTTTGGTGTTTATTGCGGTTAATTTAGTTGTCTTTATATTCTGCATTTTGATCTATATCCTACTATATCATGGATCTTGCCAGGATTTACCCTTATATTCAGGTAGAAGACAAAAGGAACAGTTCAGTAATAAGAGCTGTTAAATTTGATCATCGATGGTTTTGCTTGGGTGCTTGCACTGCAAACAGTTACATTTAGACAGTCACGGTCTAGTCAATTCGGAGTCCGGATTTTGCTACAATTTTATGAGGGGTTTCTTTTATAGATGCGTATGACTATAAATAGGGTTATTCATCATGTCTAGGGTTAAGCAAGTGTTGACATATTAGTGACATATTAGCAATATATAGGGACTTATTTGTAAGTTGTGTTTTGTAGGAGCGTATATAAGCACAAGAGATTTCATAATACAATTAAAGGGTTTTCATTCAACTTGGTATCAGAGCAAACCCGCTAGCGGCCAAAACCCCCCACACCCTTCGCCTCCCCCCCCTCACGCTGACCACACAACCCCCCCTCCCCCTTCCGCCTTCCCCCCCACTGCAGACCATACCATTGAACCCCCCCCCCCCTTTTTGCAGATCCGACCCCTCCTTTCTAGCCACCGCCATCATCTCACCGATCAGGCCCCCCTACGATCAGCCCGCCCCCCCGACCAGCCCCCCCCCCCACGAACCAGCCCCTTCCGGCTCCATGACCATCTCACCGACCCCCCCCCCACGATCAGCCCCCCCCACGAACCAGCCCTTCCGCGCTCCATGACCATCCACCGACCGCCCCCCCGCACGATCGCACCCCCCCCCCCCACGAACCAGCCTCCTCCCTCAGTTCACGATTCGCCCCCCCCTCACCCTGCACACCACACCCCACCTCTCGTCCCCACTCGATGCCCGCTGATCAGCCCCACCCTCGCTGCTAACGAGACCCCCGTTGCTGCGCTATGCCGAACCTAGAGTTTGGCATGGGTTCCCTCGATTCAGTCCTCGAACTAATGACAGGAAGAGTATATATCTCACATCGATGAGATATATAACTGTTTTTGGTTCTTGTTTCCTCTGAGAAACGAGAATTTGTTTGCGATCCTACTCTTGTTGTGCAGCAGAGGTGCTGCCGAAATTTTCACTGCATACAACAAGGGTCGGAAGAGTAGGTGACCAGGTGTTGGGTCTGAAGCATGTTCGATGGAGGAGATCATCAAGAAGTTAAACCCTACGGAGGTGTCAACTTTGATGAAGCTGATGAAGTTGTCGGCTGGTGAGAGCGCGACAAAACCATCGAAGAAGTTGGAGCTTCCGACCATCGATCTGAAGCTTGATGGACCGAGTACGTACCTGAGCTGGTCGCGGCGGGTGAGATACACCCTTGCGGGGAGGAACCTGGAGGGTTACTTGACAGGAGAGGCGACAGAGCCGGATGAGGACTCGGAGGGAAGAGATAAGTGGAAGTCCACTCATATGTTGGTGTACATCTGGCTCCTCAACTCGTTGGTCCAGTCGATCGCCGCCACAGTGGATGGCATTGAGAAGGTGAAGGACGTCTGGGAAAAGTTGAGGAGGACCTATGATAGAGTGGGGAATAACCTGAGGGTGTTCCAGATTAAGGGAGAGATCGACGCCACAGTACAGGAAGAGAGGACTGTATAGGAGTATGCCACAGAGCTGGAGCGTCTGTGACTAGATTATGATCACTTCTCACCTCGGGCGAGCTGCAAGGAATCGGGATGTAAAGAGCGGGAGGCATTTCTACAGAAGAGGACTATGGTGTTTCTCAAGGGATTGACATCAGAGTTCGCTCAGCGAATTACATTGCTGCTCGCTCATCCGAAGATTCCCACGCTTGAGGAGGCTGTCTCTGCTATGATCCAGGAGGCGACTCGTATTAGGCTGCAGGCGGGGACAGGTGGACTTCCTGTGGTGAAGTCAGCACTGGCAGCCTCTAGCAACACTGGATCTAGGGGAGAGACTCGACAGTGCTACAACTGCGGTGCGGTGGGTCATCTAAGACATGCTTGCACCAAGCTACCCAAGGAAGGAGATTCGGGTGGACGTGGACAGTTCGGAGGTTCTGGTCGTGGCTGTGGGGGACGAGGTGGAAGAGGAGTAGGGAACCAGGCGAATCTGATGGTAGCAGAGGAAGAAGAAGCTGTGGTGGTCTTTACTGAGGAGGATCGTGCTCTCCTGACGATACTCAGGAGGAAGCAGCAAGTAGCAGGGGATGGAGACTTGAGGAGTGGGCCTGAGGAGGCATCCACTTCGTTCTTCGCCAGAGGCAACACTGCTACCTATGCTCATCCGACCAAAGGTACTGATGACATACATGCTCTTGCTTCTATGTCTCCCAACAGATCATCAGAATGGATAGTCGACTCTGGTGCGTCTCGACATGTGACAGGTAATGCTAGTGAGTTCTCATCATATACTCACTTAGCATCGCCTGATAGTATTCAAACAGCTGATGGTACATTTCAGCCGGTGGTTGGTAAGGGTACAGTCGATTGTACTGGTTCTGTAACTTTGTCCAATGTTTTGCATGCTCCTTCCTTTCGAGTCAATCTTTTGTCCATTAGTTCTATCATCCTCCAACTAAAATGTATTATTTCTTTTGATATTCCCAAGGTGATTTTCTAGGAGAAGGGAACATGGTGGAGACTTGGGACTGGCACATGGCGTAGTGGATTGTGGTATCTGGATCGTGAAGGGCTGGATTTAGCATTGGTGTCAGTCGTAGAGGAAGCAGGAGTAGGATCTAAAATGAGTGCTGAGAGTGAGTTAATGCTTCATCACCATCGTTAAGGACACTCATCCTTTAGTGTTTTAGGTAAATTGTATCCTTCTTTATTTGAGAAAGCAAATAAACAGAAACTTGTGTGTGATGCATGTGAGTTTGGAAAGCTTACTAGAAGCTCTTATATTAGTTCTGGTCATAGAAGTTCTCATGCATTTGATTTGGTACATTCAGATGTTTGGCGGCCTTGTTCCACAAGTTCTATGAATGGATACAAGTATTTTGTTACATTTATTGATTGTTTCTCTCGTATTACTTGGTTATACCTGATGAAGAATAAGAGTGAAGTGTTTGGGTGCTTCCAAAACTTTCATAGGAATGTTCAGACTCAATACGGAGCAGTGGTGAAGGTACTGAGGTCGGATAATGGGACAGAGTACACTAACAGAGCGTTTGAAGAATATTTGTCAGCTCAGGGAATACATCACCAGACAACCTGCCCATACACACTAGCTCAGAATGGGGTAGCGGAAAGAAAGAACAGACATCTTTTAGAGGTTGCTAGAAGCGTGATGATATCTATGAATGTCCCAGAAACATTGTGGGGGCAAACAGTATTGACCGCAACAGCGCTGATCAACAGAATGCCCTCGAGAGTGCTGGATTAGAAGTCTCCGTGTGAGACATTAAAGGGAGATAATGGTGGGATTCTTCCACTTAAAGTGTTTGGCTATGTGTGCTTTGTGAAGGACAACAGGCCATCTGTCGGGAAGCTTGCCCCTAGAGCTGTGAAGTGTATCTTTGTGGGATATTCTGCTACTCAGAAGGGATATGTTTGCTGGAGCCCGGTGGATAAAAGGTTGTTTGTGAGCATGGATATGCACTTTCGAGAACTCGAGCCATATTACACCCGGAAGGTAACTTCATCCGTTGGTAACTCGCCCAATACTAAAAGTATGAGGCGAGAGGAGGAGAATGGTGAGAGATCGGTGAACAATGTGAAGAAATCAATTTCTGTATCAATTCCTTGGGAGGGAGAATTGGTTGAGGAGGAGCAGGAAAATGAAGAAAAAAAGAAAAATGAGACAAGAGGTGTTAGACCCACGGTTCAGGGGGAGCTACTAACCTATAGTAGGAAGGGAAAGCAAATTGCAGGAACAGTACCTACAGTGCCACTAGTGCTGCCAAGTCTCTTGCCAACGCCTGCCCCGACTCCTGAGACACCTACACCACCACCAGTTTCATCCCAAGGTGATAACATTCCTCTCCCTACTCTTCCCACACCAATATCAGTACGAATGACTACTCGTAGTAATACGGGAAATCCTCCCGATAGATATGGTTGGGATCTTGCCCATTTTGTATCATATTCTAACATCCACCCTGCACATGGGGCATTCATTGCATCATTGGACTCTGTTACTGTACCTAACAATTGGCAGGTTGCTAAGAATGACCTAAAGTGGAAAGCGGCTATGCACGAGGAGCTAGGGGCTCTTGAGAAGAACCGCACTTGGGAGCTAGTAAAACTACCAGAAGAGAAGAGAGCAGTTGGATGTAAGTGGGTCTTCACTGTGAAGCAAAATCCAGATGGACAAGTTGAGCGCTACAAGGCTCGTCTGGTGGAAAAAGGGTATAGTCAGACATATGGCATCGATTATGATGAGACTTTTGCACCGGAGGCAAAGATGAGCACTGTTCGGACCTTAATCTCTCTGGCAGTAAATGATGGATGGAAGCTACACCAACTAGATGTGAAGAATGTATTTCTTCATGGAGATCTAGTGGAGGAGGTATACATG